TGGAAGAATCATACAGCAACATATAAGGTTAGATAAAATTTCAAATTGGAATTTAATAAAGTTGTTTGAAATCAATCACTTGTATATAGTAGCATTTTTCCCTCCAACAAATGAAAATACTGCTTTCTACACTCTACTACATTATTTGGTTTACTTTCATTAACATAATATAATATGAAGGTAAGCATGTAAAAAAACGTTATCACGATGGTCGGATTCGGCTGTTAAGTAAGTGAGTTAAGATATATAATTATGCTTATTGATAGGAAATCGAAAAAGATTAAGGTTTTGAAAATATAAGGTGAAGAAAATTGAGATTTAACACATTTCGAAAGTCGATAATTTTGGAGTTGATCAAAATGGAAAAAGATTTTTTTCTGATGTGTTTAAAAGCTGGTAAAATTTCAAAATTTTACAACTTACCGTGCAGTAGAAAAACGTCATATCAAAAAGTTGCGAAAAAACGTGTTTGAAATATCAATTAATTGTAACAACCATTTCTTTTTTTTTAAATTTCAACTGTACTGAGCCGCGTAGAAGGAGCATGTCGCTACTTTTCTGCTATTGCAAAATAGCGATACAATAAATAGTGGAACAATGGCAAGTAGTGGAACAAGACTTCGATGGACTAGAACAATTTTATTTTTTATAGCGTTTTATAAATTGTTTCAAATTGCAAACAATTCAATATTTTCATCTATATAGGTTAAATGTTTGCGTTGCCATTGTTGAATTTTCCCTTTAAAATTGATTACTTCACAAATATTTCGAATAATAAAAAATTCATTCTTTCTTAAATAATATTTTAAGTAAACCAGCATTTTTCAAACTTCAGTTCTTTAGGAGATTATAAAATATTGAGGAAATTTAGTTAGGATGTGTTCACATTTGTATAATACATTTTTTATCCACATCAAATTGTTATATCGTAAAAATATATCTTTAATATAGAAACTATTTTACTAATTCAGATCTAATTCCAAATTTTAAATTATGAAATTTTTCCGTCATACTTTTATCAATTAAATTTTCCTCTTAAATTAATAATTTGTATAAATAAATTCAAGAGTTTTCTGTAATATTTCAAATAACCTAAATATAAAAATTATTATGTGGAACCTATTATAAAATAACGAAATATCATAAATACCGATATTATTTATAATTAAAATTATTCTAATATTACAATATTTACGCAAAATAAAATTTTGTTTTCATAATTACCTTACATTTTCTATAACAAGGTAATTCAACATCATACCATGTAAATTTACCCGCATACTTACATCATTATAAGTAGTTATGCACATTGTATATACATATGTACTTATATTTTATTATAATTGTTGCATACATAAGTACATTACAAAAATTATTATAATATTTTTATAAAAAGATTTTTCACATATGTATATTGCTAAAATTTTATATCTAAATGTAATCTAAAGCCCAGTATAATAAATGAGTATAATTTATTTTAACACCTATACATAATTACTTAAGTATATGGTATAACATGTATTCATTTATACATTATATGATGTTGTAAAATATTACATTATATTATAATATTATGTATTATACGTATAAGAGTTTATTTATATAACTTAATTATATTCATTAAAAATGTTCTAAATTTATTTTTATATAAAATCTTAATTATTGTAAGAATGGAGAGGATACTTAAGTATATGCTATATAGAACAGGAATATTGTCTTGGCATATACTCGTATTTTGAAAATTTAACGTTCCCTTTACTGTAATCATTCATATTTTTCATAAAGTTTGTACAATATTAAAAAATTCTAAGCCTACGAATATTATTCTTAAATTTGCAAAACGATTGAAGTGATTAACAAGTTAAAAAGTTCAGTAACATTTTTTGGGAGAAGTTCAATTTTTTATACTATCAATTAGTTTCCTTAAAAAGTTAGATAGCTTCCAAAATTCAATTTTTCTTTTTTACCAGTTCACGAAAATAAAGCGACATGATCTAAGCAAAAGCTAAAGCATGCTGTGAAAGCACAATTTTTAAACGAGTATTTGAACAACACTGTCAATGAGAAATTTTTTAATTTTATAATACGATTTCAATTTTCCAAAAATTTTTATTAATTACATTTTAAAAATGTTCATGATCTAGCATATTTTATTAGTTAAATTAAATCGTCCACGAGTAAATAACAACATTATTTACATTTAGATGTTATGTTAAAAAATTTATTCACAAATATTAAGACTTCGAATTTTGGAATTGAAAATTATAATTAACTAAATAACTTGTAACATTTAAGTAGAATTTTAAATATATTTAAATTCTAAATTATGTATAAACAATTTAAATAATAGAGAGTAGAATATTAATATAATATTTGTATTTTCCAATATCAAGTATCATAGGTTTTTTTCAAGAGAATTTTCTAACTCAATATACGAAATTGTAAACATAAGCTATTAAGAAACTGAATAATTTTTATATTATCAATGAAATTAAGATTATTCAAAATTTCACTTGAGAATCATATAGTCATGTGTGTGAGCATAATATTATTAAAATGAATAAAATATCTTTTCAATCAACCTTATTTGACTGAATGATACCCTACACTACACCATAACAATTTAATTTTAAATTCAAAACCTAATGAGCTAGCTTACTGTGCTTAAAGCATGGACAATTTTAATTCGATACTTTCTTACCGAATTTCATAGTCTTAGTACAAATTAGTTTCTAAAATAATTTCAAATTAGGCTTTAGACTTATATGCCAGCTACCCGAACTTATGAAGCTGATTCACAGAAACCTCTGTTTCTCTTAAACATGGCAGCAAAATTTTGTTTTTTAATTTTTACCGACCGTATTGTGTAAACAATAGGTAGGTTATGTGATGGCAACAAATTTTGCATATCGAGTTTTCGGTGGGAACGTACTTCTCCATAGTAGGGAAGTGTAAATAAACTATTTTTAGCAACCTGTCGGTCTGTCGGTCTGTCGGTCTGTGTGTGCACGCGTGTATCTCAAGTTCGGCTGAACCGATTTTGATGAAATTTTATATGTAAGTTTGTTTCCACCATGGCACGGATCGATCAACTTTTGGTATATATCAGGCCTCGGGAACTGCACTTTTTAGCGGGCCTGTTTTACATTTTTGAACATTTTGAAGAAAATATTCAACCGATTTACTTGAAATTTTATATATAAGCTCAGCTCGACCGTCCGCAAAAATTCGTATGTTTTGGAAGAAATCAGACATCGGCAACTAGACGTTTACTACGGGCCAAATATACATTTTTGTGTATATAAAGAAAAATAATCAACCGATTTCATTGAAATTTAATATATGAATTTCTCATATTAAAGCAATGAACATATAACTTTTTTGGAAAGATCAGGGCTCGAGAACTGATTTGCGGGCCGATTTTACATTTTTCACCATATCCACAGAACAAATTGATGGAATTTCTTGAAATTTGATATTTGAGTTCTGGTTGTTACCGAAACTAACTGGCGAGCATTTCAGGGAATTCGGGTAGCACAAAGCGAAACTCTACTAAGAGCCAAATTTACATTTTTCTAAGTATGTTAACTATAAGCTTACTAATGTCCTAAAAATTGGAAAGAAGTATTTAACAGACATTTTTATAATATTCTGTAACACTTTCATTTAACTAGACAATACACAATGCGGTCGGTTATGTGCTGACCACATCAGATTTTTTTTGAGTTGTATGGCCAAATGCTTTGCTCGAATTAATCCAATCCTAATTGCAGCTGTCCCTGGCAGAAAAAGAAACAATTCTGAAGGTTTGATGTTGTTTGCTTTTTCGTTTCTAAGTTAACGGACAAACAGACGGCCAGGCCTTAATTAATTTTACAATGAACAAGAATACATGACATGCTGTAGATAACTCAGGCAGGGTATATAAGAAATATTTATGTAAATTGAATAATTAAAATTTATTTATTTTATTTACTTTTTTTTTATTAAGTATAGTTATGAGCTTAATAAAATTTTCAATTTATACATGATTGTTTCACATGTATAAAATATTCGTGTGTGGAAAATTCGTATTAAGAATAAACAAAATAATTATGAATATCAATTAACATCATTTTTGTATTGATTCGAAAATTAATTAAATAAATCGGAAAATGAGATTTTTTAATAAAAATTTTTTCATAATTAAATTTCAATGAAATTTTATTATTTAATTTGTGTTTATACATAAGAATTTTTTTTATAAATTAAGTTATTTTTATCTTGAAATTTTAATTTAAAAATAATTTTGTTTTACTAATATTGTATACCATAGGGTATCATATAGAATTAAATAAACATATAGAAGGTTTAAATAATGTAATACCAAAGATTATTGTCAGTTCAGCACACAAAACTCTCGGCCAATATTTTGTTAGCTCTCTCAGTTTTAACAATTAAAGACCCGTAAAATTTCAATGTAATATTATAAAACATGTTAAAATATTGCATATTTCAAGACAATTCTGTAGAAAGTGTTCAATATTAAGTTTTTATCTATCAAGACTATCTATCAAGAGAAACATGTGGTACTTCGTCGTGTTCATAATTTTATGCTGTAGAATTGTTGTAAACGTTGAATTTACTTTTTCTTATAAAAAACAAACAAGTTAAGCAGAAAGGAATGCAAATACCTCAATGATTAAATAAGAACTTTTAAAAGGCAATTTTTTTAAAACGAAAGTTAGTTAAAAAGTTTCTTGTAACACATACTTTTCAGAGGATCTTTAACATGTAATTTCATATCATTGTAGCATTTTAAAAACAAATTGAATACACCCACATTAATTGGAAAATGTCATACGGAATGCAATTTTTAATGGAAAGATACCATCACTAAAATGTTTATCTGAACTTAATATTTAATCTAGATATCTAAACACATAGTTTGTAAATATAATGTCAAACTTATTAAAAAAAATTTCTTAAACAAAATTTTTTTTTATTTTATTAAATTTTAGATCTTTCCACCGAAAAGTACAACTTCGTATCGAAGTGAATGTGAACTTTCTGGTTCTTATGTATCATTGGAATGTCCATCACCGCCAGGTCCACCAACATGTCTTCCAGAGTCTAGAAGGGATCCACAAGTAAGTATTTTTCCTATAATTATACTAAAATTATTGCTATTTCAAAAAATTTCATTTCAAGTTTAACTAGAGCAACACAATATATTTTGATAATAAACTTAGATATAAATACTTTTGCCTTGCCTTTGAGCTCGGGTATGTTTCTTAACACACAAAAAACAAAATATGTATTTATATACATTTATATAAGTTTGTCAATTATAACTCACTTTTATTCCGTGAATACGTACTTAATATATATTTCAATAAACCTTCATTGAATATCTGATTTCAAAACAATTCTGTTTTTTTTTTCTAAAATAAAAGATTTAAAATTAGTAGGCAGATGTGATGGTGTTTTAACAAGTTTTTAATCGTGACAAATTCATTTTCCGTGTGCTATAAAAACAGTGAAACATTAAAAAAAAAAAAACATTTTATAAAAATCGAATGCAAAAGAGAACAAAAAAAAAATCAAATACATTTAATCTAAATCTATGCCTAAAATCTATCTATAGAAAAAATTAAAAAATCCTTGAAAAAAAAAAAAAACAAATCGCTTATATAAAATGTGGCACACACGTACCAAGTTGCAATTGGTGTTTGTTCACGTAATAACTTTCAATATAACAATGAAGCGTGACATTGAAAAGCAATGAAAAAAGAAAAATATTAAATTACAATCGTTTCCTTATTTTTAATTTTAAAATTTTTCTACGCTTTTCACTCCACATCATTGTTTTAAATTTGCTAAAAAATATTTTTGCATACAATATGAATTTTAAATAAAATATTTGAACATTTTTGATTTCTACTTGTAATAATTATTTTTACCAAGGCAAACTAAAAGATTTCTCTTTGAATTACTGAAGAGAAATTTATTAGAAATCTTCACAGAGTGAATTATAATCACATAGAATGATAAAAGAATTAAAATAAAATAAAATATTTTACATTTGCTAGAACATAATACACATGTGAAAAGTGTGTATACATTTAAGATTCTTTCCTAAAAGTCTTTGATATTCTGAATATTATTATGCTACATGCGTTACGTACAAATTTAAAAACAAATTTTGCGGCAATCCATCTGTACCCATTTGTTTCTGACTTGTGCATGTCAATAAGGCTAATATTATTTTGAATTAGATCAAGCTTAGTTACTATTCAAGCTAATTATGATTTATGATAATATAAGTAAAGACCCCTACTAGATTGTAATTGATATCCCAATTATGTTGTGGAGACTACTTTAGCTAGAAAGAAAATTATAGTCTTAGCCTTAGTATTAGCTGGAAACAATGATATATATTAATATTCATGGATTAAGACTACAACAAGGCGACTTATTTTTGCGAAGCTGAATTCTCTTTTAATGATTCGTCAAGGAATTCTTATAAATGTGGATTAATATCGAGTTTTCCATTGGATTTTTTTTTCTTGCATGAAAGAAAAAATGCATATATTATACGTACTCTTGAATTGTATCGTATACAAAATAGTTTTAATCGTAAAATATTTTTAAATACAAGGCAATGCTAAAACAAAATTTTAAAATTAAATGAAAGTTTTTTAGTCTTTTTCTGATAAATGAATAAAAATTTCAAGGATTTGAAACATTTAAAATTATTACAAAATATTCACAAAAAAAAATTTTCACCAAGAAGAATTTCGCTATAAAATATATTGGTAACCATGCAGAGAGATTTAAATTGTAAAAAAAAATATTAATTTCTTGAGAATAACATTATGAAGACGAATATTGAAGGTGTTTTACAGTTGTATAAAACACATCAACAAAACTTGCTGAAGAAAAAATTCCTATTAAGAAATTAAACTTGCGTGCAACTGCCTGTACACACAACATAACCACATTTGTACATCATTCAAGAACAATTTTTTTTTCATAATTTAATAACCAAATGCAATATGCTTCTTTTATAAGTTTCTCTCATATCGTAAAATACTTGAACACGCAAACACATATTCAATTCACAAAATGTTTTCCCAACTGAAAAATTATTGTTTGGTTTTCAAAGAATTTTTTTGTACGATGTAGAAAAAAGTCTGAAGTTTTCTCAACGCAATAATAATTTCATTTATGGGAAAAATTAAAAAGATTTGTTTTTGCATCAACTTAATTTAAAAAAAAAAAATTATAAATTTTTACCTTAATTTTGTGTTGATTCAGTTGTTCGTAAACATAATAAATTTAATTTTCTGAAAAAATTTAAGCACTTCGGTTTTTTGTTGAAAATTGTTTCATGTGGCACAGTTTTTCGTGTATAGTTTTTCTTTTCTTTTGTTTAAGGATTAATAATTTTATATTTCTTATATAATATACAAACGCTTCGTCCTACAAATTGTTAAGGAACATTTACTTCTCATTATTATTTTAAGTATCTTCTACAGATGCCGCGATATAAATGGTAATCCGCATAAAATAGATCAAAAAAATAAAATTTATTAAAACTTTTCTTAAAAGTTCTATAAAACAGTTATTTCTATAAAACGGCGATTTATATCGTTTAAAACTTGCTGATAGTGCCCAGAAATATGTCAATTTTTACTGTTTATTGCACTTTCGTAAATTTACTCAATCTATTATTCCCTTTTCATTTAAATTTTTAGGCAAGACTTAATAATTATTTAAAAACATTGTATACGGATTTGGCTCTTAAAGAACCCATTATACCACCATGGGCGATTCCTGTTGCGCCAGGCGCTTTAAGTCCGGCTCGTCTAGAACCAGATTTAAGATTACATGTACAATCACATGGTTCCACAGATTGTTTAACAATAGATCAATTATTGCTGCCCGTTCATGTAATACATATACATTTTTAAAATTATCAGAATTACAATCTATAAATTTCTTAATTTAAAATATTTAGACAAAAGACGGAAGTTTTCTAGAAGCTCCACGACGTGTTCTTATTGAGTGCCCGCCATGGGCATCTAGATCGAATTTGGCCTTAAGAATACTTCATGGATGGGCAAGAGAACCACCGTGGCCACCGAAAGGTACTCCAATTGCAATGGCCTTTTTAATACCGTTAGTTGAAATTAAAAGAAGCTTTGCAAATTATGTTGAAAAGGTATGTCAAAATATTCTGAAATTCTTCAAGAAAAATAAAAACCCAGTTTACAACAATATCTCCTAAGTTCATATATTTACTACGCTTTACAGGAACTCTTACTAAAAGGACCTATGAACCCATTTGCAAATGGTTTCGGCGGATTTTCGGCAGCTTGGAATACTTTAGAAAGTTTGGGACCTAAGCTTTTGTTTGTTCTTGATGGTTATGATAATCAAAGAGGTTCACCAAAACGTAAAGGAAAGCAGTACCCACCAGATGTTCATGATTTATTAGATGGAAAGCTGTTTCCAGAAGCTCGAGTTATCATAACAACATCCATATCAAATTGTAATGAACTTTTACCATTAATTCAACGACATGTAACATTTGAAGGTTTAACATGGGGTCGTTCAGCATCGTTACTAGGTGGAGGGCAATGGGGTGCCGCGCCATCACGCTTACTCGATACCGTCCAAGAATGTCCAGCTCTGAGAAAAATTGTTCGAACACCGCTTGGATGTCTCGCTATTGCCGCTATATTTGAAGCAACAGCTGGCGACTTGCCAACAGAGGAATTGGATGTTATTGAATCAGTATTGAATTGTATTGCACCTGAAACTTCCTCTATCAATGTTGCCGAATTAGGCCGACTAATGTTATTCTGCTTAAAAATGAAGCGCCCTTGTATATCAATGTCAGAATTGAGAATGTATTGCTCATCACCTGAATCAAATATGTTAGGTTGTTTGGATAAAGGTTTATTGTTAGGAAAATCAGCACGTAAAAAGGGAGAATTTATATATGGCCCAATGTGTCCAGAGTTAGCTGAATTTTTAGCTGCTAACTATATTGCTTCATTAGCAAATAGACCTGGTTTGCTGTCAGCAGAAATCACAGGCCTAACAATAGGTGATGAATTAGATCCAGATATGCTGAAAGTTATAAAATATGCAATGGGATTATTAGGACCAAGATCACATGTTCTACTTTCTAAGCTCACTCCATTATGGCTTAGTCCACAAACAGTATTTTCTTTAGCTTTGGCTGGTGGTAACTCAGATGAAAATCTTGCAGCTTTATGTGATATTTTAGGTATATCGAAACATCCTCCTATTTCGCCACTGGAGTCAAAACCCCTATGGGTGCAAGTAAGATCTGCGCCAACAGAATTAATGGGCTGGGGTATGGCATTGAAAAGTCATACATGCACACTAAAAAATTTAGAATTAATTTATCAATTAGACAAACATCATTTATTAGATGCTAGAAGTGCTATGGAAATTTTCCTCGACTCTTTAGAAATAAACGAAAGTGTTTCAACTTTACGAATAACTTCACTGATTGAAAATGAAGTAAAGGATTCTGAAATTGGTTATTTAGGAAGTTGTGTTGCCAAAGCATTAATTAAACCTAGATTAGAAAGTTTTGAATTAATTTTAACTTTATTAGAGGAGGATCCACCAATATTAAAATTACAACCAGTTGTTTCAGCTCTGTGTAGATCAATACCACGGCAACCAAAACTAAGTTGTTTGCAATTAGATTTAGGTCTTAGTACATCACAATTAGTTCAATTGTGTTCTGTTCTGGATAAATGTCCTAATATAACAAGGTTATCATTACCACATTTACGTTGCGAGCGTGGTGCTGTTACAGCTTTGGCAACCTTATTGGCTGCTAGACCATTAAATTTCCTATCAATTCCATCTTGTTGGGGTGCAAGAGATGATCCACCATCATCAAGTGGTGTTAGCATGGGTAAGTAACACTAAATATGTAACTTTTTAAAATCGAATAAATAATTTCTTTATTTTTCCAAAATGCAAGGCTCTGGAAGTGGTAGTAGTACCGGAACATCAGGTTTAATTAAACAAGGTTCGCTAACTGGTGTTCCATCACCCCGAGCATATCCACCTGGTTTATTTTCATCATTACCACGCGGTATGTATGTACCGACAGCAACAATGGGTCGATCAGCCACTTTACCAAGACAACCGATTGAGCCACCACCAGATAAACGTAGTTGTGATTCAGTTGTATCAAAAACATGGTATCCAACACCAGCTTGTGATGGTGGTCCACATAGTTCCGGTACACTACATGATCTATTGTTGGCAGCAAGAGAACCATATTCAAAATTACACGGCTTAGATTTAAGCAAAGCTCAATTATCATTAGAAGATTCAATGTGTCTTGGTGAAACAGTTCGCCTATCAAATACTTTACATACATTAAAATTAGAAGGTTCATCACGTTTAAGTGAAATTCTTCCATCTGTATTAGGTGCAAGTGAATCACCATGTTTACAAATGTTAAGCATTGGTTCACCTAGATTAAATTTAGAAGATTCTGTAATTGCTATGTCCGCAAGGTCATTAACCAGTTGTACAACACTTCGTCTTTTAAGTTTAGATGGATGGACTTTCAGAATTGAGGTATTAAATATTAATACATACGAGTACTTTTTTTTGGTATCAAAATTAAAATTTCTTTAAAATTTTAGATTCCATCGACTTTATCAATTTTAAGAGCATTTTTGTCGCTCACATCAATACGAGAGTTAAGTCTGGCTAATTGTCGTTTACAAATTGGAACATTTAAAAGTGATTCAAAAATAATAAATCCATTTGAATCACGTTCAGTTGTTGTATTGAAATTATCATCAGCACAAGTAACATTAGGTGATTCAATAATATGGAAAGGACCACAATTATTACCAATAATATGCGGTTTTCCATGCTTAAGAGAATTAGATTTATCAGCACCAGCTAGATCTGGTTTGGGTAGTACAACACATTCAACTCCATTAATAATAGATGATAAATGTTTGATAAATTTTTTCCAATCATTACATACTCATTTTAGGTAAAGCAAAAATTTCCTAATTAAAATAAAATTAATTATGTAACTTTCACAAAAAAAAAATCATTGAGTACTGAAAATACTTTTCCTTTTGAAGACATTTTAACCATAATTTTCACATTTTATTTTTATATTTCATTGAAATATAGTTTGCTCAACACATTGAAAGTATGCAACTGGGTAATTCATTTTGATGATCCAACAAAAACATTGAAAACATTATCAAAATGCATCCGTAATAGTCCAATTAGCCATTTAAAATTGGATGGTGTTTCCGTTTTAGATAGAACGAAAAAAATTCGTATTGAATCAAGTTTTTTGCACTGTTTTATATCCTCATTACCATTATTACGTTGGATGGGTATAAGTTTATCTGGTAAAAAGGAAGATCAAATAACAGCCATTGGGAATGCAGTTCTAGATTTAAAAGGATATGAAATTGATATTAAGTAAGTATTTTATATTATGCTATAATAATATTCCTTTATATAATTTATATTAACAGAATTTTATTAAATTTATGTATAACAGTATGGTAATAAAATAAAATGGATTAGTGAAAAAAAAAACGAACTAATCATAATAATACACTTACGTTATACAATATTTTTACTTTATACACGAGTAAATTTTATACTTATAGTAACACGCGCTCATATGTACATGCACATAAGCGTTTATACACATTATACACACACTTTTATCACAATATACTCATCCAAAAAAAAAAATATTAACTTTATCAATTGAATAAAAATCCTAGATAAAAATCCTTGTGATATAAAATTAAAGAAGAAAATTATTATAAGGATATTGTTTTGTACTTTCATTTTCTTTTTCTCTTCATCATCCTTATTTTGTTGAATTTTGTTTTTATTTTTATTTTTTTGGTTTTCTATTCTTTCTGTGATTCTTTTAATTCTATCTCTTCTTAATGCAATGAATATAAATTATCATGAGATTATTTTTTCTTTTTTTATTTTCTATCTCAGAAAACTTTTTCATTTAACTTAATAGAATTGTTCACTTGAAAATTGTGAATTTTTTCAAGTTTGTCTTGCTGTCCTTGTAAATTTTGTTAAGTGATAAATGCCAAAATAAGTAGTTTCGAGTGAATTAAGTTTTAAAATTTAAAAACCATTTTGGAAAATTTTAAGAATTTTAATCTATTTAAAATTGACTTAAACAATTGCATCCTCTGTTGGAATTAGAGATTCTTTTATTAACATGTTTTTCAATTCGATCAGATTTCAAGATCAGATTCGGAATCAAAGTATTTTTGTCACACTATAATTTGATAAAATTTTTGAATGGTGTTGTGTTCTTTTTTTAATTTGATAATATTAGAATTATCTGATTTTTATCATATTTTGTAGGATCCTTGATTTCCATACGAAGAATTTAAATATTAAAAAATTTGGCGAACTTAGGTAATTTTTGCGCAAAATTTTAATTTAAAATAATTTCTGTTACAATTCTAAAGCTACTTTTATGTTGTTTTTTTAAATGAAATGATATAGGACAAAGTCAAGTATAAAATTCAATTATGTATCAAAAACCATGGGATTAAATTATCAAAGGATGAATATAAGATCAAATTTCTTATTTATTTTAAAATTTGTGTATATCAATCTGTTGCTTCAAATTACATAACATTTGAAATCAATATATAAGTTTCAAGTGCGAGAATATGTTCTTGAAATAAGAATAAGAAAAAAATTTAATTTTAATAAAAGTATTACTTTTTACATGTTTTATATATTTTAATAAATTACTCCAATTATTATGTTGTACTCAAATTAAATAGTATAGAATGGGAAAGGGAAATTGGCACGAGAAAAAAATATTTTTTATTAAGATTAAAAAAAATGCGTTCTATTTTTTTTTTTTCAATTTCGAGAAAACAGAGAGTTGCGCAAATTTAATTTTTAGTCTTTTATTGAAATACGCGAAACCAAGCAAAATAATTTCCATTATATGCATTCGGATCCTTTTATAACAAAAGGCAATTGGAATACTTTCTTTATTACAAAATCTCTGTACTACCGACTACTGAACGAATGATTTTGATTAAAAATTACTTCAAAATTTTATATTGAATAAGTTTCGATTTTCGCAAGCGATGGAAATTTGTCCTAAATGCCGATTAGTAACGTACATCTCTTTTATATTTTCAAAATACTCGGAAAATTATTACAAAAGGACCCATAAAACTAGACAAGAAAAGAAAAACCTTCCATTTATGTAAATTAGGCTTTTAATTTTTTCCACGTGAAGTACTGATCGAAGAAATTATTTTCAATGCAATTTTTTTTTTTACTTATGAAACACAAAATTGAATTGAGGATGACGATGACAATGTACGAGTAGAAGGAGAAATGGATGAATTTATTTAATTTAAAATGGTTTACCTCTCTCCGTTTTAGTAAATCTGATGAAAAAATTAAATATTTGTACAAAATCAATATTTGTACCTTTTCTCTCTTTTTTTTCTTAAAAAAGAAAATGCTTAAAAAAAACTAAAGGAATTTATCATGAAAAGCAAAAAGAAAAGGCAAATTTTTTTTCTTTAAATTTCTAGAGCAGAAACAGTTTTTTTTTTGTTTATTATTTTTTTCTGTTTTAGTTTTCTTTAAATTGATTTTTATTGAGAAAAGGATCAAAGGAAAAGGATTTGTATTTTAATTTTGATGAATTTGAAATCCTTATCAATTTTTTTCTGCAGCAAAGAGTTTTTCATTTTTAAATTATAATGTTAACTTGTAAAACAAAAATAAATATTCAATTTTAATCTGTGTATTTTATTTGTAAAACAAAACAGTGGGAATGCAAAGAAATTGCCATGTTTTTCTTACAAAAATTTAAAATTGCAGCTAAGGCTTATTACAGCTAGAAAATCATGAAGCTGAATAACTATTTTGTTGAATAATCGACTAAAAAAATCTAAATTTCAAACAATTTCTATTTAAATTTGAACAATTTCAGAAATAATTTTGCAACGCTTTGGATACTCGCTTTCATTTTATATTGTTCACGGTTAGCCTTCATTTCCTACACAATTTTTTATTTAATATAATTTTTTCTTTTTTGTGAAAATAAAAATCATAATAAATATAAGAAGAACATTCCAAATTATTTTTCATAATTTTAATTCAGAGCACATTTTATTATATACAGTACGAGAATAATGTGTAAATAACGTGAAAATTATGTTAAAATTATGTGAAAATTAAGTTCTCACTGATATTTGATCTGATAAAAACGTACAAAATATTATTATCGAAATAAACGTGTAAATAATAAAATGAAATATATTCGAGACTAGCTATTATGTTTTTCTTTAATATTTTTTTAACAACAAAATTTTTGAATTGAATTTTTAAATTTTCATATGCTTTTTAAATTGCTAATGCAAGAAATCAATTATTAATTTTGATATCGGTTTAAAATTTTTTTAGAGTCAATATTTAAAGTAATTCCCTGAAAACAAATTAGTTGTATTAAATTTAACATATGGAATTTTATTTTAAAATCAGCAATTTTCAAAACGATCTCTCGATTATCAAATAAGAAGATTTAAACATTTTAAAGGCAATGTCATAAAATTAGTTTTTCGAAATAAATTAATGCCATTTTAATAATCTACACTTCAACATATTGCTTTCATTCAATTAAAGATTCACCAACAGATTAGTTATTCTTGATTCCGAGTACTGTTAATTCTAAAAGTTTTGTATTCAAATAACAGCTTTAAGCCTTGATTAAATACAGATCTGAGTAAATGGTAATTAATAAAGATTTTATTGAAAAAAATATAATGAAATTTATATTTTTTCCCTGTGTAAAGAAGAAAATATACTAGTTTTTTGAGTGCTTTATAACACACTACTGTGAAAATCCAGTCAAGTCAAGCACACCGTATATGTAGTTTAAAAAAATACAAGACACAAAATACTTCTTCTCAACTACTTTTCAATCTATTTTAATAACAAAAATCAAAGCCCTACATCGCTGATTTTATTTTCAGCAAAAACTTTCATATATTTATGCTACAATCTCAAACGCATGCACATACATACATATAAAAAATATTCAATCTTTTTATTAAAATTTTATTAAATTTGAATTTTTATTAAATTTTATATACTAGTTTTCATCTATATAACATTATTATTATTATAACAGTTTTTGTTTTCAAAATAAATTTGAAACGCATTTATTATTATTTTGTAACAGCAAAATATACTCAAACATAGAGTGTATATGTGTATGTATGTATATAAATCGATTTGATATTTTTTATCTAATTTCAATATTTTTATGATATTTTCAAACAGATGGTGGCAATATGCCAATTTCATGCATGTATGTGTGTGAATAAAAATGCGATTTAAAAAATCTTTCAATATTTTCAATCTATTCAAGTTATTATAACTATCGCAAATAAGATTTTTTTTTCCGTCTTACACGCTTATGTATACATACATTGTTATAACATTTACATGAAATTTTAAATAAATTTAAAGAAATTTAATTTTTATAACAGTATATCGTATTTAAAAGGGATTCTTTTATCTTATATTATGTAGTTTTAAAAAAAAATATGAATTCTTTATGATAAAATATCCTGTATATCGGTATAAAATGTATAATTTTCTGACTATAATTTAAAGATTTTTACTCAACAGGAAATATTATATATACACATATTATATACATATTTAAAGTAGAACAACAAATAATAATATACTGTTATATATGTATATGTGTAATATAGTTAATACTATATAAAAGGATTTTAACTTGATGGATTAACTTCATGAAAATATCCTTGGAATCATCATTTATCTTGTTATCTACAACATACCAACTTCTATCAAATAATTTTTTTCTTCTTTCAATTTATTGTTTTTCCGTTTTCTATCAATTTATCTACAAACACACATAACAAATTTTTTGAATGAAAAAATAAATTTGTATATATACAAGAAAGAAGGAGAAGAACAGAAAATGTGAAAAATCAGATATAATGACAAAATATAAATGATAAAATGAGAAAAAAATAACAAAAATTTGGGAAAAATTAGTCCGTTTACACAGGGTAACAAAAGGTTAATTCATAAAAAATTTATTTTTATGTCAATATCCTACGAAATAGTTAAATTGATTTACCTAAAAGTATGCAATTTTTCAAAAAAAAATTCTTTTTAAATTTTTGACTAGCTATGTACGAGTCTGTACGAACGTATGTTTATTATGAAACTGATGTTCATTATGAACTTTACGGCTTAGTATGTAAAGTACCACCACCTAAATTTTTTATGAAAATTTTGGAAAAATATATAGAAAATGTTTTGGGAACATAACAAGAAAAAAATTAATCTCAATAGAAGATGTTCTTCCAAATATAAACCTTCCTGTATAAGAAAAGAACAAAAATACCAAGATTTCCGAAAATTAATTTGTGACGACTACGTTTTTTTAGACGAATAGATTAATTACAGTAGTATTACATATTGTACTTAAACAAATTTATAGATAAATCAATTTTCCCATTTAGCTGAACGACATTTGGTGAAATTGTTCGATTCCAGCAAATTTATATATGTACCAAAATTTTTGTATACGTATTTTATTATATAATATCTTTGATCTTTTGTCACTTATTATCTACACTAAAGAATCACTCTTCTCTCTTTCCCCCGTATTAATTCTTAATTTTAGGATAACGTAATTTTTAAGATTCTTTAAAAAATCAAAAATTAAAAAAAAACATCTGTTAAACAGATTGATAAAAGAACATTTAAGTACAACAACGAAATGAAAGAGGAAGAAAATTTATAATAAAATAAAAAGAAAGAAAGAGAAAAATAATAAACAAACAAAAAAAAAGAAAAGTTATTCTAATCACTTGTTGTATTCTAAACACAAACTAAGCTCGTAAATTTCTTTTATTGGAAAAATTTTACAGTTTTTTTTATTTTAACTTTTGTAGTGATTCCTGTATTTGTTTTTTGTTCTTCTCTATTCTTTGACTTAGTATATCGTAATTTTTTTATTACATTAGTTGAAAAAAACAGCATTCCTTTATTCTAAAAATGCTTACAAAAAAAAAAATATTTTTAAAGCTTAACGTGATTAAATTATTTAAAAAGTTTTAAATATTAAAAATTTTTTATTCTTCTCATTTTATTTAACATTTTACGAGTATAATGTGCGCGTAAAGTAGAAAAATTCAAAATAAATCTACGATAAAAATTTCTGTAAAAGATCCCTGTAATAATTTTAATACAAAACATGTTGATTTTTAAAATTTAAACCCTAACTTCATTGGATATTCAATAACTCAATTTTTATATTGATTTCTACAAATTTTGGAAAATTTCGAAATGAATTTAGAATTTTTTATGTACATAGATTGAGACTGATGAAAACATTGAAACAAAGCCAATTTTTTCTTCTGTCGTTAAGTATATTTTGTCCTGTGATTCCTCTCTCGTTGATAGCTATTTGACACAAAATAAATTCCAACAAATTATCAATCTTCCAATACTAAAAGTCAGACCGATATTCTTTGAAACAGATTGCAATACGGTTTGTATTGCGCCACTTGAGATTGTGTTAATGAATATTTCGTATTGCTTCTGGTTTTGTATTCTTTTCATCGCACTCTTATTTATAATTTCAAATTTCGTCATACCATTTACTTCGAACCATTTCATCCTATTCAATTTATTTGGTTGACGTTTTTCATTTTCATAGACCTTCAATTTTAATTTTAAGTTTTATTTATTTTTTGGGATATTTGAGCAATTAGGCACTTAAATTTGTTGCACAATTTATAATGAAAATATTAATTTTGAATTGTTTTCTTTTTTCTACAGATTAAGTGAATCTACTATCGAACATGCTAAACTAATGGCTCAAGCAATTAGCTTAGATGGAAAATTTGATATTAAAGTATCAACATTTGGAACATCAAGTGGAATATTGGTTCATGCTGAAAAATCCGGTACAAAAAGTTTAAATCGTAAAAATAATAAAGACTAAAAAAAAGAACAAAATATTTTAAAATAACAAAAGAAAATTATTATTATTCCATTTGCAACAGAAATTATAAAAAAAACTATAAAATTTATTTATATAAAAAGATCACGTCTATTCTTCAATAGATTTTCAATAGTAAATAAAGCATATAAAAAATATTCTAGATATACACACCAAGTATACGTGTATAAATCAATGAGAAAGAGAAAGAATAACTAAATTGAATATAATTAGGAAACTTTTATCCTATTTTTTCATTCATTTCATTTAAATGCATTTCATCCTATATCCTAAATTTATAAAGCTGGATAAAATACCAATATTACTTATACTCTATTTGGATAAGCATTATGGTATAGCAATGAAAAATCTGTAATCAATTTAATCGTTTCTTGATTTCTATACTACCTTAAATACTATATACATAACTAACCAACATATATAAATTTCATTATTTTGCTATAGGAAAGAAAAAAACGCCAAGGATAATAAACAAGGATTACTGCAAAAAATATTGTAAATCGAATAATTTAATATACTTTTACAATTTTCTCGTTATTATTTTTAGAAAGAAAAGGGGATAATTCTTAAATAGCTTCACATTTCAAGTTAAAGTAGACATTAAGCTATATTATACCTAGTACCATTTTCAATTGCTTATACTACTATAAAAATTTAATTTAGAATTTAATTTAGAATGTTGGGTTCTCTGATTTTAAACTAATAAAATTGAAACTTATTACGATAATTTTGTATAAATTCGAAGAGAAAAATTAATGCGTAAATTGAAACTTTTCGATGCCACAACTAAATAATTTTAACTTTTTACAATTCCATTATTTGCAGCCTGTAAAGAATTTTTTCTAATATTAATTTTAGTCCAATAAATAAACTACGGTTAAATTTTTATAAGTTAACCATAAATTAAAATTTTTTTAATAACACACATTTTTTACGTAAAGCTGGTAACCCAAAATACCTTTTCTTTGAAAAAGAATTCTGCATAAAGCACCAATCCATATTATAAATTTTTAAATTAATTCAGTAAATTCTTAATTATTATTCTATTATTTTCAGATTTGCTGAATATTAAAAATAATTTTTTTTTATTCCCCTACATTAAAAGGCAGCTTCCGATTGCTATTTTAACATCTAATTCAACGTTTTTCGATTACTATATTATCCTTGGAAATGAATTTCTTTTTTTAATAATGATTACGTTTTCATTTCTTTACTATACAATTAGAAATAAACTTGGATTTCAAAATTAAATTAAAATATAATTATTTTATTTTACTTCATTTGTATTTTGACAATTAATTTTGAAATTGTATAAATTTTATTTTCAAAGCTAAAAATAGTCTATTTGAAAACCATACACGCTTTTTTTCAGCACATTTTGAAGTTGAGTGAATTGCGATTCACTTTACTTGTTCATATTCTTCAAATTCTTGTTATGGCCTTTGAAATCTCATCCCATTATTAGTTCACCATAATATAACTAAATTTTTGCAATCGATTCATTCGTTTCCAATAATTTATAGCAATATTTTTGATAATTGTTAAAATATTATCAATAATTTTTATATTCTGTCCAAATTACAATAAATCTTTGTGATTGCCTTAAATTGGCATTGACATTGAATTTTTTTAATATTAGATCAAAATATTTAAGAAATTTTTCAAATTAATATTGTATTGCCTGTATCAGTATCCTTCATTTAAAAGTATCCTATTTTCGTCATTGTCATACTAATAAACGATAGTCAAAATATATTAAAAATCGATTGTACATTGGAGCTAAAAACGGACTTAATTTAAGATTTAATAAGGACAATTTGCAAAAAACAAAATTCAGAAGCCCATATCATTTTTTTTCCATTTTTATACAAAAATAATATGGAAAACTTAGCTAATTGAAGAGTTTTAGAACAAAAAAACGTTAAAAACCATTCTATTTCCTAGTAGATACACCCAATATAAACCCAATTAATTTAATAATTTTATATATTTTAAATATGCATACACATATAGCTATTAATATTGTGTTTTGTGATAAATATGCGTGAAATTTAAAACCGAATAATAATAATTGAAAAAAAATACTATAAATACATTTGTTGAAAATTCTCTAAAGATTCTTACACAATAAAGTTTAGACCAAATAATTTAAGTTAAAAATTAAAATAAGAAAATTATTTAAGAAGAAGAAAAAAAACCATTAAACAACAACAGCAACAACAGCAAATAAAAAATTGAATTGTTCAAATTTAATTTCTAGGACGAAAAAAAAATTTAAACAAACAAAATAAACTTTGCTATAGAAAACTTTCTATTTGTATATTCAAAACAAAAAAATCTCCTTTTAAAATGCATACCAGTATATATGAAAATAAATAACAAAAAAAAAAACACTAAAATAAAAAAGAATAAAAAAATTCGAAAATCTACATGTTAGACTTTAAAATTCTTGTACTCTATTTCTATTTGATATTTAAATAATAAGTAATTAGTAAAAGAAAATTTCACTTTTCAAAATCACAAAACAAAAGATGTTATATAATACAAATTTTATGTAATAAAAATAATAAATAAAATATGTAATATATAGATGGAAAATTCAACATTTGTATAACACAAACCGAAAGAATTCATTTATATATATACATACATAAATAAATATATAAGAAGGAAGGAAACAAAAATTTAAAATAGAAATTGTGCTTTTTACAATTTTTCTTAAATTAAAATTAAAATCAAAACCAGAAAAAATTTAAATAAATAAAAATTTGTAGGAAATATGATAAAAATAAAAATTAATTAACAAAAAAAAAAATCCATTCATACATAATAAACATACATACTAACAGATATACATACTAATATACTTTAAATCTGAATTTGACAACATTAGAAATTTTAATATTTAAAAATAAAGAAAAAAAAAAGAAATGTTTAAAATTTCCAATTTAACTACAATACTATATTGAAAATATACTACATATATACGTACAATATACTTACATAATATATAATTGGTTAATATATAAATCAAATATTAATTTTCTAATTTATATTAAAAAAAAACAAAAAAAACAAAAATTAATTTGCACTTAAACAAACAAATAACAGGAAAATCATTAATAATTCCAATTAAATTTTTGTTTTTGAATGACAACATTTTACTTTTTTAACATTAATTTTCATTTTACTATAAGGTTTCAATAAAAAACAAGACAAAAAACAAAAAACACAAAAATTTTTGCAAAATAAAAAAAAAAAAATTCCTTTAAATTTTTCAACTATAAAATTTAAATTGTAAAATTTTTCGAGAAATAAAAATTTTCTTTTTATATTAAACAAAAAAAAAAATAAAATAATTTCTTAGAATTCTTTAAAATCACTGCCTACAAATTTTTTATATTCTCAATTAATATACTTAAAATATAAAGCTACAAAACCATAAACAGCAATTACAAATTTAATAAAAAGCAAACATTATGAGACCAAATTTATTAATGATTTGTAAAAAATTTTTAATACTCATTGATTGAGATGAAAAGTAACTAATTCATTTAAAAAATCACTTAATTTTTTTTTTTTACATAAAAATCATTTAATTTATTTTGAGGAATTAATTAAAATGCAAATAAACTTAAATTGTAGTTAATCAATTTTTACATTATAAATTATTATTCTAATAAAATTGAAATATTCTGTTAAATTTTAGGTTTTCAGAAATAATTCTTATCATTTTTACACAAAATTACAGGTTAAAATAAAAGAACAAGTTTCATTTATTCAAAATGAATTCCCATTTCGGATAATTTTTCTCTCATTCAAAATATTTAAATTCTTATATAATTTTTACTCTATACAACATTACATGAGAAAACTAAAATTTGCTTCTCGTTCAGAAATTCGTAAATGGCCGACAACTTCCTACAAAAACAGCCTAAATGTTTTTGTAAAAATAATTTATTGCTTCACAATTTTTACTGTTCTTGTACAAAATTTAGATTGATTTTATTATGCAATAAAAACTGCTTTGATTTTAATAAGAATTATTGAATATTGATTCAATTAATATTTTCTATGTTTAAGAACGTATACGTATGAAAATATGAAATGTCGAATTTTGTAAATTATTTCCGTTTGCTATATCTTGCAACTGAACAAGGAAAGGAAAACAGCAGAAATATTTTTAATATTTCCAAAAACAAATCAAAATACGAGTTGAATTTTAACAAAAATTTATAGACCCACAGTTAACGGCCTATTATCACCAGCCATAATCTGGTGAGACTGCAGAAATATTTTTAATACTTCCAAAAAACAAATCAAGACAGGAGTTGAATTTTTACAAAAATTTATAGACCCGCACTTAACGGCCTATTATCATCAGCCATAATCTGGTGAGACTGCAGAAATATTTTTAATACTTCCAAAAAACAAATCAAGACAGGAATTGAATTTTTACAAAAATTTATAGACCCACAGTTAACGGCCTATTATCACCAGCCATAATCTGGTGAGACTGCAGAAATATTTTTAATACTTCCAAAAAACAAATCAAGACAGGAATTGAATTTTAACAAAAATTTATAGACCCGCACTTAACGGCCTATTATCATCAGCCATAATCTGGTGAGACTGCAGAAATATTTTTAATACTTCCAAAAAACAAATCAAGACAGGAATTGAATTTTAACAAAAATTTATAGACCCGCACTTAACGGCCTATTATCACCAGCCATAATCTGAGTAATGAAATCAATTTTCTCCGGCTTTTCAATGAAATTTGTTCTCTTATTTAAAATTCAAATAATTTGACTGCATACAATAATTTTTATTGTAGCCAGGAAATAAAATTTCTTTCAAATCTAATTTATTAAATTTTAAAATACCTTACTACTTTTGTAAAAATTTACCCCAAAATATTCTATTTTATTTAAAATAATAAAAAAATTCTTATTTTAAAAAGATTTTTGTTTCCCACAAAATTATTTTGTAATTTATTTTTTTTTTTAAATTTTCAATATCTGTGGGGATTTAATCTCAATCAATATTAAAAATTTAAGTTTACTATTAAACAAAATTCATTATTTACGGAAACAAATTCTCATAATAAAATAATCAACTTGCAATTAAAATAATATTTTTAATAATTTTTTTTTATTAATTTGAAAACAAACTCTTTGAAAACGAAAAACAAATGCTTAAATAAATTATAAATGTATTCAAAAGAAGAAGAAAAAAAGAAATAAGTAAATAAAAATAAAATAGTTAATATGAAGGAAAATATTAAAATGTAACTTTCAATTATATTTTAATTTTTTAAATATTCCATATTGGAAATTATTGTATTTATACAATTTTAATACTTGAAATGATAGTTATTTACTACAAAAATTTATTTTCTCTTAATAAATAAATAACATAATAATTGTGTATATGTGTAATATGTACTTTTTGAAAAAAAAAACCAAAAACCGAAAACAAACACTTTATATATAATATAAAAATATATAATATACTTTTTGCATGTTAAAACCATACTAAAAAAAATAATAATAAAAATATTTCTATAAACTATAATAATAAAATGGTAATAATTGAAAATGTAAACAAAATACAAAAGAAATATGAGTAGAAAACTCTTATAAATAATAATTATAAATAATTCTTCTATTTAAAAATTCGACTTCTATTTAAAAATTCGATTATTTTCCAAATATACTTTTAAATATTTTATATTCTTTAATTTTTAGATTTTTTTCAATGTTTTAACCAAAA